GCAATATAGCCTTACGCTTAGCATTAGCACTTGCACTGGGAATTTTCTTCGGAGCCATGATCAAAATCTAAATCACAACTGAAATGTAATTGAAATAACGTCAACGGCAGAGCACAGATGTAAACAAGTCTGAATTCAAAATCGATATTGGATCGGAAAATAACGCACGAGTGCCGCCTGTCTGCAGGAATTTGAAATCAGAACATCTGCGTTCTCCGACAGGAATCGAACTTGTATCTCACACGGAAACCATCAGATAGCCTGACGTGCTGTAAACTATTTTTCAGATTTAATCCATTTCATTTAATATGTTATCATTGTTTACGTTAGGTTACGTTTCAGAGAAGAAATGAATTATCGAGAAAGATCGTCGAAAATGCGTGTTTACGAGCAGGAATTTGAACTTTGCTAACTAGAAAGCTCTCTGTGATTGAATGGTTAAACAGTACGTCAAAATTCTGTCTTCTTGCAATTGATGTTTAGTCCTTCCTCGCTTTCTTTCGTTACCTTCTGAGTGAGTTTTTGTAGTTTCCTTTCTGTCTCTGCTATCAACACAGTCATTTGCATATCTTATATTGCTAAGATTGTGGCCCTCAATATAGAATCTTGGTAGGGGTTCTCTCTTGGAATTACCTCACTGTATATGTTTAATAAGTCCATTGAAAAGACACACCCTTGACTTACATTTTCTATCCTTATTCAAGGGCTGCTAACATTTTCTATCCTTATGCAAGGGCTGCTCTGGGTTATTCCAGTATCCGTTAGGGCACCTCGGCGTGGTGTAATGGTTAGCAAGCTTGTCTCGCTAGATCAGTTACGACTGAAAAGTGAGTTCGATCCTCACTAGGTGTCCCATACTTTCGGCCTTGTGCCACATCTAAGCTACGCTTAGAAAATAAGCTATGGCACTTCGAGGTAGTGTAATGGTTAGCAAGCTTGTCTCGCTAAAACAATTACGACTGAGTAGTGAGTTCGATCCTCACTGGGTGCCCCATATTTTCGGCCTTGTGCCACATCTAAGCTACGCTTGGAAAATCACTATTGGGCACCTCGAGGCGGTGTAATGGTTAGCAAGCTTGGCTCGTTAGAACAATTACGTCTGAGTAGTGAGTACGATCCTCACTGGGTGCCCCCTAATTTCGGCCTTGTGCCACATCTAAGCTACGCTTGGAAAATCACTATTCCAGTATCCGTCACAAATATGTTAGGATTAACGAGCAGTTTCAACAGTTCAAACGCCCCTCCGCTTCGATCTCGTCTAATGTAAAAAGTGATGGTCGATCCTCACATATGTGCAGCGGTCGACTAGCTCTGAATGGAGCTCCATTATAAACTTAAAGGTTCGTCTGTTTTTTGTTTTTTTTTATAGTACCCAAAGAAAAACAAGTTACAAGTTGGCCTACAATTGATCTACCGTAGGTGTCCAATATGGAATTTCTAAGAGTTTCTCTACTGTTTTTGTTTTTGCTTTCAGTTCGAGCGGCAATATTATGTTGGAATGTACTCTAAAAAACCTTGAAACCTAATCTGGAGTAAAAGAAAAAGAAAAACACCCTGATCCTATTACAAGGAATTAATATAGTTCAGAAATAATTGTAGCCACTTGCAAATAATTAAAATAGCAAATGCCGTATATAATCGCGTACATGCGACCTATGAAGACCTAATTTTGAAGTTAATTTGACTCCAGTAAATGGCGTAGCCAGGTACAGTTGTATATACGCTAATTTTATATCTCATGTATGATACGACCCTCTTAAAATTAGCTTCAAAATTAGGGCTTCAAATGTCGCATGATAGACGAGTATGTATGATACATACATACCTGTCTCCGGGCTCCAGCCCTGGGCTGGTGGTATCACGGCTACGACGAGCTTGGATCGGCACTGAAAAGCTTGGACCTGCTATGACAAGCCAAGACCAGCTACGACTAGCTTAGACCAGCTATGACTAGCTTGGACAAGCTAAGACCAGCTTAGACCAGTGGCCCGAGTGAAAACACTTAGGTTCCCCACGTTAAAAACTGACCTTGTGTCACATCCTGACTCAGTGGGGCGTCAAGTAAATATCTATATATGATACATACAAAAGTAATATATTTTAACATTTTTAAGCTATAAAACTAATAAAGAAGAAATGCAAAAAAAATAAGGTTGGTAACTTTTATACAGAGAGGATGATATTCCTTGAAACATTACACAGACAATTGATTTGTACATTCCTTACCATTTTTCTCTCTTCTCTTTGAGAAGCCATGTAGACATCACACTTTCTTTGGCTTGTTCTTCCAGCTTTATTTGGATGCAAATAACTCAGGAAATTACTTAACCTCTTGAATCCTAGAGTTGCCAATTATCCATTTAGACACAGTTCCTGATTGAATGATATTTATATTGTTGGAAAAACTTTAAATTCCTCAATTGATGACATCTGCGGATTTCCGACGAAAGAAGAATTCCTCTCCCATATTTGCCCAATATGGAATTTCTAAGAGTTTCTCTACTGTTTTTGTTTTTGCTTTTAGTTCGTGTGGCAATATTATGTTGGAATGTACTCGAAAAAAACTTGAAACCTAATCTGGAGTAAAAGAAAAACAAAAACACCCTGATCCTATTACAAGGAATTAATATAGTTCAGAAATAATTATAGCCACTTGCAAATAATTAAAATAGCAAATGCTGTATATAATCGCGTACATGCGACCTATGAAGACCTAATTTTGAAGTTAATTTGACTCCAGTAAATGGTTTGGTCAATGGTGGAGCCAGAGACAGCTGTATATACGCTAATTTTATATATCATGTATGATGCGACCCTCTTAAAATTAGCTTCAAAATTAGGGCTTCAAATGTCGCATGATAGGCGAGTATATACGGTACCTATGGAGAGGGGTAAATTTTTCACTTATAAAAATGATTTTATCATCGCATGTACACGATTATATACGCCATTTTCTATTTTAATTATCACGTATCTCGTGTATCAAGCGAGTTGCTTTTTTGAGAGACCAAATTACAATAGACTAACCTTTTTTCCTTTATCTCTTTATCCCATCTTCTAGTTAAATAAGTTACAAAAAAGTAAAAGAGAATGATAATAGTATCATTAGTAACGCTACACTCGTAAACAGCCGAACGAGAAAGAGCATGAATAGATTGCTCCTTGTTGAGGTAAAAAATTGCCGTAAATACATACGTGTATCAAAAAGTAAAAGAGAATGATAAAAATACCGTTAGTAACGCTATACTCGTTGTGTAAACGCGTACAGCCATAAACAAACGAATGAGAATCAGCTAAACATCTCATAATCGTAAACAATGGCAAAGATTCATATTCGTTATGTTTGTATTTTATAATACGATACTAATATGTGAATATTAGATGATTTATTTTTAGATGGTACAAAACAATAACTAATTTGGAATTAGCATCAGAATAGTGACGACACTCATCTTGAATTTCTTTTTAATCATTTCACCCTAAGCAGGGCAATAAATCCACTAAGACGCAAAGGACTACTGGGTGTTAGAGAATATAAGAAAATATACTATTAAGAAACGAGGGCAATAAAAGAAGAAGAAATTAGAAAGGCAGAAGATAAAGCTCCGAAGATCACATTGCATTTCAATTTTTGAAGATCAATGTTGACTGGGAAGCAAGAAACCGGAAGTGAGTTCTACAAGCGAGAAATGCAAGAGAAGAAACTGTTAACATAGAACTTACGGTTACGTCTAACCATTTCAACTGTAAAATGATGAGACCTAGTTGCCAATCTAGTACGGCGCTTAAATTCATTTAATCTAGGTACCATAGAGGAAAGTAATATTTATTTTGTTTTAATACAAAATCTGGCACAAGACCAGATGTGGGACAGGGGAAGGCTGGTCTTCAATTTGTCTTATCGGTAACCATAGCTAGGCATGATTATAGACTTAAACATACCATAATATTCTGACTACAGTCACCTTAATACCTCGGAGTCTCTATGATGTCCTAACTAGTTCCTATATGTACAATATGTCTGGGATGTGTGTGAAAATAACTTTAAAAAATGAAACCCCAACAAATATTTACAATGATTACAAGTTTATATGCAATATAGTAAAGTAAATAGTGTTAGTTATCCCCCACCACAAACCTTAACCATTGAAACACACACTCATCCAGACACAAAAACAAACACGAAATGCGCATTCAAAAAAAGGGGGAGAGAGAAAAAGTTCATCGAAACAGTTACCATGAAATTATTTATAGTAAAGACAGAGGGAAGCTACGTTACAACGGCGGGGAAGTGGTTGAACTGAGATGCCAGGTCAGGAACAATAACTTTAGCACACTACTTTAAACAAAATTTTTGAAAGGGAACCCCCATCTGTACTAGAAAAAACGATAACATCCTACATATCCTCATAATATGCACTTCTTACTTTTTCTTTTACACATTACAACAAACTTATTCAGTAACCATCTAGCTTGAGTGGCTCTTGGGTCTTGGGTGGACAACAGTATAAAAAGAAATTAGTGCAGATTAGGTTATTTAGCTTTAGCGTACCAACCCAATTTAGGAGAATCACAGCTCTAAATACCCCTTCACTTTTCAACACTTCTTGGAGCAACTAAGGGTTAAATAGTAGGGTAGATTAGGTTCTCTAGCCTTGAATATCAGCCAATCAAGACAAGTCTATTCTGAATTCAAATCCGTAGAGAAGACAATTAGAAATCTTTCTACTATCTTCCGCAAAAAGCCCTGACATTTCAGATACAAGAAAAGGAAGGAAGATGCGGAGAGCCTTGGCCATCTGCATCCTGAGGGGAGACAGCATTTTATCTTGGGACGTGGATGTCTTGTTAGCATCGAAAGGTGAAAACGGGAGAGATTTGAAAAACTCGGAAACATTTTACGAATTAAGACGACGTATATATACGTCATGAAAGAGATGCTGGTGAGAGGGACACACGATGCTTACTCTCCAACGTTAATTTCAAGTCAGAAGACTTACCACAGAGACGATGTGACTTGTTCGATTCAGTCTGATGGCCGTTTTCATTAATTCAATTTGTTGTTCAACCTGAAAAAGACATCAACAACCATTAAACAGAAAATCGATCGATCGAAATAAATTTTAAGAGCAAACACACGTTCGGTTGGTTGATTTTTTTTAGCGGTATATCAACACATATATGGGTTATTTAACGCCGAAATCTAAGTATTTTGTACACGATTTTATTTTAGTTTTTGTAATAATAATGATTTTAGTGATAAAAATGTTACTAATTACCCCAAAGCTAGAGTGAGAAGAGATGGATTCATACATTTGTCGCAAATTCCTTGTATAAACTTCGGCTGTTTTCATCGGGGGTTTGTGGTTTCCGTACGTTAAGTAACGTTGTGGCTGGTCAATACCTAGATGGGTGACCACTTGGATGTACGGGTGGTGTAATAGATACGGCTTGAAATTGTTAATCAGAGAGCTGAGTTCCAATTCCAGTCGGGTTTTTATATTCGCTTATATATAAAGAACCAAATTGGAATTATTATTAAAGGAAAACTTTAATGTGCGATAAAGAAATTTGTTTAAAAAAATGATCAAAAACATTGATCAAAAACAAAAAAATATTAAATTCGTTGATCAAAAACAAAAAAATATTATTCGAAAATGAATAATAATAATCTACGAATTATCAAAAATACATTTTTCAAACATTCCACCTCCAAGCAAGGCAATAATGCCACTAAGACGCAAGGGGTTACTAGTACAGTGTAACCCGGATATAAGAGTCCCGGATATAAGAGAAACCCGGATATAAGAGAAACCCGTATATAAGAGATTTTCTCTGGTCCCAAATTAGAGCCTGTGTTAATGTATACAAAATAGACTAAACCCGGATATAAGAGAAACCCGGATATAAGAGACTTCTTCTCCGGTCCCGACAACTCTCTTATATCCGGGTTACACTGTAGTTGGAGAGGATGCGAAGACTTTAAAACTGAGGAAAAAAAAAAAAACGAACAGAATTCGGGAAGACGGAAGTTGGCGATTGACGTTGCATTTAAAGTTTTGAAGATTGTAGGTGACAGGGAAGCAAGAAGTCAAGAGAGAGTTCCAGAGGTGAGAAATACGAGGAAAGAAATTACAGCGCGCGGAAGAAATACCTCCCACATAAAGATCCCGGAAATACCTCCCACATTAACATCCCAGAAATACCTCCCACATAAACCTCCCAATAATACCTCCCACAAATATCTCACACATAAACATACCAGAATTACATCCTACATAAACATCCCCAAAATATACCACACATAAACATCTCAGAAATACCTCCAATATGAACGTCCCAGAAACACCACCCACATAAACACCCCAGTCATACCTCCCGCATTAACATCCAAGAAATATCTCACACATAAGCATATCAGAATTACATCCTACATAAACATCCCAGAAATACCCCCACATAAACATCCCAGAAATACCCCCACATAAACATCCCATAAATACTTCTCGCATCAACATACTAGAAATACCTCCCACAAAACATCCCCGAAATACTTCCCATATAAAGATCCCAGTAATACCACCCAGATAATGGTAATACATTAGCTACATGTTGCTGTAGAAATACCTACCACATTTTAAACCGATACCTGTATGATACAAGCAAACTTAGGAAGTGGCAATGATATCTTCATTTAGCTAATCTCTTACAATGATGTGAGATCTATTTATGCGAGGTATTTCTGCCGCACCCTGTTTTAGAATAAAACTGACGGTTGCATCTACCTATTTCAACAGTAGAATAATGAGATGTCTATTATGTTTGATCATGAGCCGTTTTAAACTTCGTATATATATATATGTGTGTGTGTTTAGGCAGCAATCTTTTTTATTTCAAACATCTTTAATTAAATACGACAGACAAGGAAGATTCCATTAATTTTTAAAGCTTTTTCAGCATCTGTACGTTTTTCCATTTTGTCGGAGTAAGGGAGCACAGAAATTTTTCATAATTTTCATTGCCGCACGCGCTTTCGACCACTTCTTTAGCCATTTTCAAGAGGGTTGTTTTTTGACTGTTTAAGGTGTATTTTATTTTTGTATTGTTTTGAATAGCAGCGTTTATTCCGAGCCTTCACAGGTTGAGCATGGCTGAAATTCGCATGAGCCTCTTTCTAATTCTAAAAAACTTTTAACACTCCATTTCCACTGTTAAATAAGGTGAGGTTGATTGTAGGAGAGAAATGTTTTCTGTAAAGAACCTCTCTAATAGCGAAATGTTTCCGGTAATGTGATTTATATAGAATTTTAGTGCTTGCGACTAGAATTTCATAAGGGTACTTATATATATATATATATATATATATATATATATATATATATACATACATACATGTTTCATTAAATAATGTAGTCAAGTGTTGTCTCTCTCTATATATATATATATAAAGAAAGGGATAGAATTTTTTTAGTTATTAATTCAATAGATTTTATTACTTAAACGTTATTTTTAGTGGATACTCGTATTTGAGTAGACGTTCTGTTTATTTATTAAAAATTGTAATTTATTTTTGTCGACAGGCCTCAATATTTGAGAAATCTTATTAAAGAAAAATATCCGCTCTCTGGTAGGATTCGAACCTGCGTCCGCCTAGGAGAAGCCGTCGAAAGATCCAACGTATTTTAGACCTCACGGTTTTTCCAGCATCCGTACATTTTGCCATTTTGTAGGAGTCAGGGAGTACAGAAATTTTCCATAATTTTCATTCTCTCAAGCGTTTTCGACAACTTCTTTAGCCATTTTGAAGAGGGGGTGCTGTTAATTTTTCCCCCTGTTTTTGATAGTTACAGTTGTCTTATTTTTATGTTCTTTTGAATAGCAGCGTTCATTCCGAGCATCCTCCTATTTTTAGAATATTTGTGTGTGTGTGTCTCTGTGTGTGTGTGATCTGTATAACGTTTCTATAGACATTTTAGTACAGAAACCGGATATTTATTCCTGAAAATATCTTAAACAACCGTCGTTTTCAATTTCAGTCGAATTTACCGACTTGTGAATATTAAAAGATAAAGTTAAGCATGTTTTATCAAATTCAAATCTATCACGCCCGAAAAAAAGAATATACATATATATATATATGCAATCACAAAACTGTCTCATATTGCGGCTGTTTTTATTTCAAGTACGTCTTTTTAAGCACAGCTTGTGACCTAGAAATTAAGTGATTCCAGTGTGAAAAGTGGTACCAAACTTTTACCAGCAGACTGCATCATGAAGATTATATCAGCTGATGAGTGACGGTCCGAGGAGAAGCAATAAAAAGCAATTGAAATGAAAATGAAAGAAATCCTAGTGAAAAATGAAGAATGCTTGAAAATGCTTGATCTAATCCAAATTGCAGATAATATTACTACTACTAATACTACTAGTGGAAAAAAGCAATTGAAATGAAGATGAAAGAAATTAGTGAAAAAAATGAAGAATGCTTGACAATGCTTGATCTAATGAAAATTGTAGATAATATTACTACTACTAATACTACTAGTGGAAATAAAGCAATTGAAATGAAGATGAAAAATGAAATTGAAAGTGAAAATGTAGAATGCTTGACAATGCTTGATCTAATAAAAATTGCAGATAATATTACTACTACTAATACTACTAGTGGAAAAAAGCAATTGAAATGAAGATGAAAGAAATCCTAGTGAAAAATGAAGAATGCTTGACAATGCTTGATCTAATGAAAATTGTAGATAATATTACTACTAAATACTACTAGTGGAAATAAAGCAATTGAAATGAAGATGAAAGAAATCCTAGTGAAAAATGAAGAATGACAATGCTTGATCTAATGAAAATGCAAAATATTACTACTACTAATACTACTAGTGGAAATAAAGAATTGAAATGAAGATGAAAGAAATCCCTAGTAAAAATGAAGAATTCTTGACAATGCTAATCTAAAAAATTGCAGATAATATTACTACTACTAATACTACTAGTGGAAATAAAGCAATTGAAATGAAGATGAAAAAATCCTAGTGAAAAATGAAGAATGACAATGTTTGATCTAATGAAAATTGCTAATATTACTAATACTAATACTACTAGTGGAAATAAAACAATTGAAATGAAGATGAAAGAAACTAGTGAAAAAATGAAGAATTCTTGACAATGCTTGATCTAATGAAAATTGCAGATATTACTACTACTAATACTACTAGTGGAAATAAAGCAATTGAAATGAAGATGAAAGAAATCCTAGTGAAAAAATGAAGAATGCTTGACAATGCTTGATCTAATGAAAAATTGCAGATAATATTACTACTACTAATACTACTAGTGGAAATAAAGCAATTGAAATGAAGATGAAAGAAAATCCTAGTGAAAAATGAAGAATGCTTGACAATGCTTGATCTAATGAAAATTGCAGATAATATTACTACTACTAATACTACTAGTGGAAATAAAGCAAATTGAAATGAAGATGAAAGAAATCCTAGTGAAAATGAAGAATGCTTGACAATGCTTGATCTAATGAAAATTGCAGATAATATTACTACTACTAATACTACTAGTGGAAATAAAGCAATTGAAATGAAGATGAAAGAAATCTAGTGAAAAATGAAGAATGCTTGACAATGCTTGATCTAATCCAAATTGCAGATAATATTACTACTACTAATACTACTACTGGAAATAAAAGCAATTGAAATGAAGATGAAAGAAATCCTAGTGAAAAATGAAGAATGCTTGACAATGCTTGATCTAATGAAAATTGCAGATAATATTACTACTAATACTACTAGTGGAAATAAAGCAATTGAAATGAAGATGAAAGAAATCCTAGTGAAAAATGAAGAATGCTTGACAATGCTTGATCTAATGAAAATTGCAGATAATATTATTACTACTAATACTACTAGTGGAAATAAAGCAATTGAAATGAAGATGAAAAGAAATCCTAGTGAAAATGAAGAATGCTTGACAATGCTTGATCTAATGAAAATTGCAGATAATATTACTACTACTAATACTACTAGTGGAAATAAAGCAATTGAAATGAAGA